TGACGCTCTATCTAGAAAGGACATTAACACGATAGTGCACAACGACATCAGTCTCGAAACTTTAGCTAAACTCCAAGTAGACGATGCAGAATTGAAATCCTGCAAAGAGAAGTCTAGCTTGAATCTTAAACTTATACCCATGCCTTTCTCAGATACTTTCATCATGTGCGACACCTCAACAGGCAACAATCGCTTTTTCGTCCCACACGCTTGCCGACGAGAAATATTCCGACACTTACACGGTCTTTCACACCCAGGAATCCGAGCCACAACTAAATTGATTACTGGACATTTCGTGTGGCCAAAGAATAACTCAGATATAAAACGATGAACTCGAAGCTGCCTACAATGTCAACGCAGCAAAATTCAAAAACACACAGTCAGTCCTGTTGGGAAGTTCCCCTTTGCCGGAGAAACGTTTCCAACACATCCATCTAGATATAGTCGGTCCCTTGCCGCCACCAAAATCATTCACGCATATACTCACATCGGTGGACAGATTCACAATATGGGCTATAGCGTGTCCCATCGCCGACACTTCTGCAGAGACAGTAGCCGCTACATTCCTTGACCGATGGATATCAAACTATGGAGTACCATCTATCGTCACTACAGATCGTGGTCCCCAGTTCCAGTCTATCTTATTTCAGGAATTCATAAGACTTCTGGGTGTGAACCACATTAAAACGACAGCTTATCATCCAGTAGCTAATGGTCTGGTCGAAAGATTTCACCGTCAATTGAAAAGCGCACTGATGGCACAAACTGATACAACAAAATGTAGTGACCCACTACCACTTGTACTCCTGGGGATTCGTTCAACCATCAAGGAGGATTTAGGATGCGCTTCAGCTGAACTAGTTTACGTTACTACATTAACATTACCGGGTCAGTTGGTCGATCAAGAATCAATAATGTCAAATGATCCAAATGGTTTCGCAAGCCGACTATTACAAACGATGCAACGCATTAAAGCGATACCTCCGCGCGAACATAAAAACCGCACACAACTTGATAAACATCTAGAGGCCTGCAAATTCGTTTTTGCTCGAGTCGACGCAGTGAGAAAACCATTGAAACAACCGTACGAAGGACTTTGCAAAGTAATTAAACGAACAAACAAACATTTCATCATCAATAAAAATGGAAGGAACGTGAAAATTTCCATAGACCGAATAAAACCGGCTTTCTACGAAATTCTTCAAGACGCGGAAGACAATACTACGAACGAATCACCACTCCCATCTATCGCTAAGAAACAAGAGGAAAAACAAAAACTTAACAGTACCCCCTCTTGTTTAACACGTTCTGGGAGGCTTGTAAAAGAACCAAAACGTTATGTACATTTTGCCCTATAAAAAAACTACAACCAATCAAAACAAACAATCATCAAGGACCCACAATATCAATCCTACCCAATGTTTTTTCCCCTTTTTCATAGTGTACATAATTAATCAAATTTTTCCACAATTATTCGTTTTGTCACATTATTTTTTTGTTACAATAATAAACGAGTAATTACGTATTCAATGTACACAAAAATAAACAGTTCATTTTTTTGTGTGCGTGTCCGTCATTAACAATTTTACACATTATTATCATTGACAGTGTTTTCTTTTTTTTCTGTTCGTTACGCTATGTTACATTACTACTATCCTCAAACGCTAACACAAGGCATTTTACTAACGCATATATCATTTCCATCTCCACAATTTTTGTTGTATATAACTGTAAATATTATTTTTGTACATATGTATATATCATACTCTTACATTTTTTTTTGTTATTACAACCAGTTTTACCTCCGGAAACTCTGGGGGGAGCTATGTGGAGATAGGTCCGTCAAACTTATTTTGTAAATAATTTTTAATATTATTTGTATTCATTTTGTCGACCTTTCACTGTGTGTACATTTATTATAAAATCATTGTACCTGTTGTTTTAGTAAATGACCTTGATCACTTTTTCCGTTGTGATGCTAACATAGCGTGACACTTTCTGTGATCGTTTCAAATACACTACTACACACATACCTCTCGTTTTAAATTCACTCGCATTTGTGTTAACTAAAGTCTGAATCAAGTACCATTTATCTTTACAGACGATAATTGGAATATACCATATTTACTACTGGATCCTATCATTGGGGAACCCATCACACTCACAGGAATTATTAATCATCTATAATTGTGGAAATTTAACACCAGATCGATTTGGAACACGCACTCTCCTTGTAAAATAAGTAACGTTCCTTAGTTCTATTGTGTTTATGACGTTTAACTTATATATATATATATATTTAAATATTGCTATTTGTTATAAATAACTATCATTACCTTTTGGATTAATATATTATCTGGTCCACCACAAACATACCCTGCAATTACTATCCAGCCTAGATCAGTCGATCCTCGATATATCCATAGCCTATCAAATATATCTTCGAACTTCTTCACTTCTGTCTTTTGATTTCACTTGGTGGGTACGCTCCATATTGAAATGTGTTACTGTTTAAAGCGTTGTCACACTCTAAATACCTGTGGCATCTTCAAATTACTTCAAATTAAATCGAATGGCATGGCTCGGCCTTTCTGGAATGATCATCCTTGTGTAGCCTATACGTGAGATCCCATAGATTACACAGTTACACAATGATAAATCTACGATATTAGAATTAGGTTTATTATTAAAGCAGTACTAATAACGATGTAGACCATAATTCTATATATTCGTCGTGACAACCTATCGAAATGGACTTATCACAAGACCCTTCAAATTCCTTCATCGTAAAACGAAAAACCATATCATTAATTAAAATTGAAGTATCGATAGCATCGGCATTGATCGTCTTTAAGCTGTGTATTCAGAATGAGACCGTAGTAATTTTTATTTTCTTCTAGTACACTCAGACGACACGAACTTGACAATTATAATACATCACTCGATAATCAACAAACACGATGAAACTGAAAGTCGGTGTAAAACAATTCGTTCTGAAAGAAGGGTAAGGTTTTCAGAACTCTTGAACGCCTACTATACACCAGACAATGCATTACATTTTGTTTAATCTTGTTTGTTTGCATTGTTGTGACAAAAAAATACAAAACCAAAGATTTTTTCAATTATGCGCATTTATGTGTATTTATCCATATATACTGCCGTAAAAACTATCGAAAAACAATTGTGCGAAAACACTTTACGCTACCGCATGTTATCAATAGGCATATATTCCATTTGATTATCACTCGCGCACGCGTGTATCCCGACATTCACCTACAACTCCATTTTTCTCTCTTTTCGAGGACGGTTGGAGAAAATGAGAAACTGAAGGAAAATACAATGAATGGAAATTTTCTTTGTGCGCTTTTTCATCGTTATTTTGCACCACATGGCCACTTATATTAGAAAAGGACGCACAAATGCTGCTGAACATAGCAAGGTTTCGAAGAGTATTTACCGGAGGCAATCTCATTGAATTTAAAATTCTAATTGGCCACATATCAGGGTCATCATCAAACCATTGGGGGTGGGGATTGAGCCGTAGCGGTAAACAAATTCCCTAACTAAACAGTCCTGTAAGTCCTTGATATTGATACTGACGTCATTAGTTTAACTATACACATCCAAGCTGGAGGCGTTCGGTCACTCATCTGCACCAGATCACGAGTGGGTACCTGTGCTACACATCCTTGCAACTAATAGCCAGCTTAGATAATACTCTTCTCGACATATCGGTAGCTGTTGAAATATATCTTCGAACTCCCATTCTGACTTCTGATTTGACTGGAATGGTGTACTTTGATTATGAAGGTGTAAGATGTAAAAACGCTGTCAAACTCCAAATACTTATGACATCTTCAGATGCCATCTTAACCAGTAACACCTATAATCGAAACGTGCGAACACATTGAAATCAGAATCAACTGCAAAAAGGTGGAAAGGAAGGCCCAGGACAGAATGGGTTGGAGGATGCTGATGTGTGGCCTATGTCCCATGGAGGGTAATAAGCGTAAGTGAACAAGTAAATTATGTCTACCATGCGACGTTATCACATAAGGATCCCTAAAATTCAAAGACCTAACTGTGAGGCTGCTCGGTAGTTAGCACTCAAAACGTATTCCAGAGTCAAATCAAGAGCTTACTGAACTCATGTTGAAACGGTGATCCTAGGACCACTGAGTTGGAATCCACTGGTGCAAAGCTATAATTTCAGTCACTGTATAACGCGACAACCAATTAGTGGCATCGATGATAATTGTCTCACCCTCAACATGGTTGAACTCTACTAACCATTACTTCACATAGAAAAAATTCAAAAATGCATCCTAAAGGTAGTGGCTGGTGAGAATAAGATTTTGCTGTGGTTCAAAGCTTTTCTGGAGATTTGTTTGTATATGGCTTTTGCCCAGATCAATGGCAAGAGTGATAAAATCATTACAAACATGGGTTTGATCCCTTACTGTTTGGTGACTACTGGATTTTGAGCAGTGAATAAATGAAGCAGTATATAGGTCGGATACCCTATGGTTTTAGATAGTTTTCCAATGGTACGTCAGAATCAACTACATTTTAAATTACTCTCTGCAAAACTCGAAACAAAACTAGATGAGTCTTGTGATGGGCAGCATGCGATCTCGAAGGCTTACAGAACTACTGATTATCGGGATATATTTGCCGCTACACATATTTGGTCATATCTAGGAACATAGGTAAAGAGTAACATAAACAAACAAAAACAAGCGTGCATGATTATAGATTATTAAGTAATGTTATTATTGGACCTGACAAGTGCAGAAAAAGGTCACAATACGGTTTATGCATGTATCGTATTATTTCATAATAAAATCACATTTTCGGTTATGTTTAGGCATCTTTATAGAACACAAAATTAAACATTATGGCTGAATTTATCGTCATGGAACTGAGAACTTTAATATACTGTTAAGACACAAATAGCCTAGTAATAGATCGAAGTTTAAAGTTTGAACCAAGAGGGCGCCACTTTCGACGGATGCGTTGCTCCCAGGGTAGGTAGTACTCATCCAGGATAGTCCTGGTCGTTGCGGGGATTAATTATGTGATCACTAATTATTCAGCATCTAAGGCTTATACTAAAATACTTTTTAAAACTGATGCCAATATTTTCTGGCTGATTGTTGTATAAATGTAGTTTGTCCAACAAAACATCGATTATAAGTCCATCTGTCCTCAAATTTTGCCGTAACGGGGAAGTTGCAGTGATATGTGTTCGGGCATGATTATTTTCGTTCAGTTTTCATCGCCATTCAAAGACTTAACCTAGATATGCTTTGCGAATTTTGTCCAGGAGACTTCCATTTATTTCGCTATTTTTAAATGTTAGCCCTAGGTAAAACGGTGGATATTCGATAAGTCTATAAAACTGTCATGGACCACTGGATTTTGAAAGCATCCTTGTCGAATTATATAACATTGCGAGGTTCACAGGTAAACCGTAAAAGAGTCACACGCATTTTATCATAACTTCGTCTATTTATTTAAGCACAAAAATAAATGACTTGTGTGAGGAATGGAATATCATTCAAGTCTTGAGGCACATGTGCACCGTTGGTTTAGAATCAGTGTTTCAAATCTTCTAGGTGAACCCCCTGTATATACCGACTTGGTAAGGGCGCCGAACATTCGCTTTTCGTCCTTTCAATTTCGTAATCAAAATTCCGGCCGTGAGAAGACAGTGGCTGCATATGCGTGGCCAAGTGAGAGCATTCCGAGAGAGCTGACGCTCCTAGCCTTGACCGTACTAGGGCATTTGAGAGCTTTTATCACTACAACTTAAAAAGACACTCATTATCTACAGCCTAAGATCGATCTGATTGTGTTGTCCTCATTTGCCAGTCAAGCCAAATAGCTCTCTTACCACCTGAAAATCAAACTTTTTAGGTTCCATAAAACGATATTTTTTAATTAGTATCGGCAATTAATACCAAGATAAACGTAAAACTTAGCATGTTATTGTCATTGTAGGTTCATACACTGTATACAACATTGAATAAATAACACAAACAGTCGAAATAGTAGCAACTGTATTAGTTGTAGTAAAGAACTGCGAAAGAAACATTTCTGGATGTTAAGATAAAGTGAAACAGGTTGAAGATATGTCCGTTACTTACAGCAGTCTGAAAAATAAATATTTTATGTCTTTGTAATCTAGTTTAAACAGGTTTTCAATGTCCTCACGCCTACAATCCATGCGTTGATTACCTGTTATAAATCCAATAGACTCGCTTTTTGCTTACTATGACCACCTTCAAGCTACCATCTAGCTTCATCTATTATTACACATCAAAGCTAACAGTGTCTCAGCGTTTATAGCATTCAGTCTGCTTACCCAATTGTACTGTTTTACTATTTTCATCTGATTTTTCTTCACTTTAGACCATCGTTAGTCACCAAACTAAGACAATAAGGCCAGATACCCGAAGCTGAATTATCATTTTATAGTCTTCCAGAAATTGAAGGGAGAAGGAAACCTTGATTATGGTTTATTTAAGTTACAACAGTACTCGTTGATTGATTTCTGGGAAGACCCTTACTATTTCATTATCATTGTGAACTTTGTATAGCTAAACTTAATAGTACTCCTGTTCGAGAAGTGTAGGCCTAATTGTTTCAATTCTTATAAAGGCTATTTATCTGAGAATTGTTTGTTTCCCAATCGTCTGGTCACTGTCCCTGTTGTATGTTTATACATATGGACCAATCAATTAAACTGAATCAATGTTGTTCTCCATCATCGATGCAAGACAAGTTAATTAATGGTGTTCAAATGAAAGCAAATCGTATAGTAGATTGTGATTATTGTCATTTATCTTGTATCACTCAAAAACATAATAAATCTCGTAAGTTATAATTGAAAAACTTTGATGGTTGTTTGTTAATTTATGTGTTTTTGCATATGACATGGGACAGCGCTCGTAGTTTCATCATCAGTTTCGTAAAAATCAACTTTTAGTTCACGTCAAATGCCCTATTAATATTTACATCTTATTATATGTTTGTTTCCTATCTCTAGCGACATAAAATTACAATTTATCGTTTAGCATTGAATATGTATTATTTGAATGTAACCGGAAAATTGTTTTCAGACTAACCGATAATAAAGATGAGTAATATCGACTATCTTAAAAAGCCTTTATGTCAATAATTTAGTATCTAACATATAATGCACTTTGTCCTTCATATTGAACTTTGATTTCGTTTCCAATCATATCGTAATGCTTATTTTCATATCCTGAGTACCTACTTAACTTGAACATTAATACCATACTTTTATCTTAAGCATTTGTGTCTTTTCATAAGGTTTAAAATTACTAGCTATCTTTTCTGAACACTTAAACACAGAAGTACTAGTTAAACTAAGCATTTAACTCTAAACACAGGACATAAGTCTCGTATTTCAATCACATTATAACTTTCTGATATTCTTTAGGAATATGCTTTTCTGTCTTAGTTGGATTTCAGGACTCGATCTAATCGAAAACTTCTCTCGACATTATTATACGAATGGATTCATTGTTCTGGTTACTCATTTAAATCTAAGGATGTTTTTAAAAGTCCCAGTGATTAACCTTTCGATGTACACCAAAATAACTTCATTTCAACATTATACACATACAGTTTATCCAATTCGTTATGCCTCAAGCATTTAATTATCAAAACATGAGCTTTCTAACGTTATACAGAACTTGTTTGATTGTGTGTAGCCAATTATAGCAGTCTTCTAATCCTGTGCTACAACTACCAGGGTGTCGATGGAAAGACCATACATCAGGTACACTAAGTATCTTACCGTTAGCTTTTCTTCTCATGTTAATGTTAGGTGAAGTAAAGCAATCAAGTAGGGACTTTCTTAACTAATAATTTCGTTCAAATTTTTATTGCTCTCTAACTTCGTTTTATACTTGATGATTTTATTTTACATGACACGTCTTAGTTCCCATACCCGCCAGCTTTTATACTGTAAAGAAAACAAACTTGAAATACATTTACGTAGACGAGATGTCTTTCTGTCTATTATAGGGCGAGTATACCGCTCATCGACTCAATCCGTTTGACTGTTGAATAGCCTTTGAAGAATAGAAATATTCACACTTTACTATTGGTTAGTCATAGATGTCGTCAAGCGTTGTTAGGATTTTTGGTGGATCAATCGAGCCAGCCGTGTTGAAGCTAAAAATAGATACTAGGTAGATATGGTTAATTGTTTAATATGAGGTGGTTAGGGTATTCGTCAGGTATATCAAGTCATTACCAACATCACCGAGTAATGTTGGCCTATGTAAGGGTCCTTTGAAAGCAAGCTAGGTATGCCAGTCCACAGAGTAATCGACTTTTGGTCTGAACCGTGTTGGCACGCCCAAACTATCTAGCTAGGGTCCGGAGAATAATCCTAAATAGCAGTTAAACGTATTAGGCGGAATTACACAATGGTACAAATGGATTGACTCCATCCCATCCATAGATCCAATATCCCTCCGTACATAACTTCTTTCAATCCTTTCTTGTCATGCCATATACTCTATGTTTATTCTTATTATTGCTACTACTTTTATGTCTTCTGCTTGATTGTTGATTTAGTGTTCCAGCTTAAACCGTTATACATCTGTCCAAGGTTCTGTTCTGTTTATAATTGACTGACTGTACGTTTATTAAATTCTGATGAAATACGTAGTTTTTAAAAGCTAGCATTACTACTTAGGTTGACGGATTCACACTTAAATAGAATAATTTGTAGCTTCTGCCTCTTCTATGAACTAGGGCGTGAACTGCATTATTTATGTAAAACCTAATAGTAGCCATAATATGCGGTCTTCTGAACTCCAATAATTAAAATTAAGTTTAAGCCTGCAGTTTTGGGCTTGTAATCTGAGCAATAATGTCATTGAATCGCATCAAATTGTCTCAGCAATCTATAACTTCGAACATGAACACCTCCAATTGGATTTCAAATGTGAGCTATCGTGTAAATTACGAATAAATAATTAAAATACTATGCAACATCATGATATTATGTAAGATAGATGAATCCACTTCAGAGGCGTTATTGAGTTGGTTTCATTATCCTTTAATTGATATATTCAATAACGGTTACGAGCTTGCTATATTTCTCATAAACTTAGTATCTTAGTACATTGCGCTGTAACTGTTTTTGACTATTCGTCCTTTATGCTTGAATATAAGCTTCTCATTCAACTGTTATCAGAATAATTTTAGAATGAACTATTATTTATCTCAATTCCAGACATTTTCTGTATAATTCACTTGATATTGCTTTTGTTTTTCATTTGTTTGAATCTTCCCATTGATGTTTAGGACTGAAATTGTTCAGTCTCTTATTGGCATATGTGCATACTGTGCGTATGCCTCGATATTGCCTTAATTTACAAGCATTATAAGCAAAGGTGGATAGTGGCTAGCAGTGGAATCCAGGACGCGCGTTTCGTCCTATTTGGAACTCGTCGGCTGGATGTACCTGCATCTCAGAGTTGATGTTCACTCCGGGACTCGAACCCAGTACCGTCCGCTTCAAACGCCATCGCGTTATCCACTTAGCTACTGAGTCCTGATAGCCACTTGCTTGTGCAATGGGGTGAAGTTTAATTCACTTGATATTGTTTTTGTTTTTCATTTGTTTGAATCTTCCCAATGATGTTTAGGACTGAAATTGTTCAGTCTCTGGGTTCGAGTCCCGGAGTGAACATCAACTCTGAGATGCAGGTACATCCAGCCGACGAGTCCCAAATAGGATGAAACGCGCTTCCTGGATTCCACTGCTAGTCACTATCCACCTTTGCTTATAATTTTCTGTTTAAGCACTCAATTATATTAGGAAGAGGGATTTTCGTTTTTTTCCTAACCAGAATGAATTTTACAAATAGTTACCTATAAAAATTTCTATTTCCTTTAGTTCTAAGTGGATAAAATAAGAAAGTGTGTAGGCGGATATTTCAATCTGGCCACATGTAACTGTTATGTATGGAATGTGTATTACATAGTAATGTTTCACATGTTTAATAATATACTTATAGATTTTAGTTTCTAACCAATTATTAATATAATATTCTAAATGTCTTTATCTACACTCCGTACACTTAAGGACATTCGGTATTGCTGTAAATTCCCAATTAATTGGCGCATGCACAGATATATTGAGATCGGTATATATAGAGTTGTAATCACTATCGTGTCGATAAATAATACCTCTTAGACTTATCATTTATATCGGGATGGGAACTGGATATCCATATATATTTTTTTGTTTTTTTTCTCTATTAAGAATAAAGATATGCATAATACTGTGCGAGGCAAATTGCTTATACTTTGTCATTAATCGTCTTCTCCATTTTGCGCTTTTTCTTAGAACAAAGTGGTCCACGTTTTAACATACAGAATATTATTTTCTCTTTTAATTAGCTCACTTTTATTCTATATTCTACATTCTTTTGTTAATGTAAACATGACTCCTTGGCGATCGCACCCGCCTACTACAAAAGTGTCATTTTAAATAATGTTTCGAAAGTTAACAATAATGATTATCTGACATTTAACTGGAACTCATGAACAATGAATTCGGGAAAGCTAGCACAGTTTAAAAACCTGGACTTGGGTGTGTATATCAAATATTCACTCTTCACCAGGATTTGAAATGTGGGCATGTTACCAAGGCCCGACCATAATTGCATTTGTTGACCTTAAAGCAATATTCGATCCCATCAGTTACGTTTTGTGTCTTTCGTTAGGGTATCTACCAAAGATGTACGCAGTGCAAACACTTTAGCCGCAAATTATCGTTCGGGTCAGAGCTTACGGCAAACGGTCATGAGAATCGTCAACTTGTAGTGGTGTTTGTCATAACTGGTCATCCCTTTTTTTGTCTAATTTCGTCATATATGTTTTCCTAGAACTGTTGCGTTCCTTATCGAACTTTCAAGGGATTAGTTTTCCCTTTATAAACCTATTCATTGACCTCAAATTGGCAGTCCTATTTAAGAACGCTGGCATAACATAATCTTTTGATTGTCATGCGTAACAATACAAGCATATTCAGTATATGCTTCTCTCCCTCCAAAAGTTTGCTTCAGAACTAGAGGGAATAAAGTTGTTCCGTGCATCGACCACTTCAATTGTCCTAGAAGTTGCATCAGCCCTGGTGGGTTGGTAGCTGACTAAGTTTTGCCACGGATTCAGAAAGCTCGTTTGGTTTTTTGGTAACCTTTGTCACTTGTGGCATAGGCAAGGTATCTATCGCAGAGGTCCATTCTGTATCTTTATGTCTGGGAAATATTGCATATGAAAATAAAAGATATGAGTAGGATATTAATATCTCACCATAGGTGCCTTCGTAGCATTTCTCAATTATTAAAGAAGATCAGATTCAGCTATTTTTAGGTTTGACTCGGGACATTAAGCAAAGATGGAAAGCTAATTGATGAAGTTGTTAATCCTTACTGAATAAAGTTTCTAGAACATGTGTTATGTATACTAAACTATCACGCCTTAGGACACGATGTTGGCTGACCTAAGAGTAAGTATGAAAGGTAGGGACTACTAAACCAAAACAGGGCATCGGTCTCTACAATCATTGAAATCTAGACCGGGTCATGTTGGTAGATTCAAACTACTTGACTGCGGTCGGGGCGGTTATTGCCAGACGTTGGGTGACTTGGATCAGATACATCAATCTATATCTTTCCATAACTTTCGAATTTAGTGTCATCCCACGCTTTCCATTCTCTGATCTCATTTATTTTTATCTACTACTGCTAATGCTGTCACTGCTTATTGTACTCTGGTATCTCACTATGGTGATATATGGTGAAACTGAGCTGATGCACATTTGTACCAGATTCTACACTGCATATAAATGACTGACTCCATAGTTAAGTTTCCATTACAGTTGATATTGTTTTCTCTCGTCTGCTTCTTGTTAGCTTCCTTTCTGACTGTCCTAATATGAAATACGACAATTTGGATTGGTAAATATTCCTTCCAGGTCCCAAGTTGTCTGTTATTGGTTAATTCCAGGGAATGAGTTTCATTCATTCCTATAGTTTATTTATTTATTTTAACACATAGATATTGGTACAAGGAGGCACCAAATACATATGCGCCACACATATATCACTTAATATGTGTGAGGGCTGTGATACTGCTCGGGTGCCCAGACCGAAGCAGGTGGTTTTCTTAGGGGGCCACACCAGGAGCCTTCGACCTGAAGATCTGATCCACAAGGCAGTGGAGCATCGTGAGGAGATGCAGCCCATGGTAGCCGGTGACCAACGATTGGTTCATACGCCATTTGTTCCTTCAGGATACTGGAGCCCATGTGCACCACTGGTTTGGGATCCGGTTAAAGCGCCGGACATTCGCTTTTCGTCCTCTCATTTTTGTAAACAACACCCCCGCCACGAGAAGGCAGTGAGTAGGACTTTCCTGGCAGAGGCTATATACGCGTGGCCGTGTGAGAGCATTTCGAGAGGGAGAGCGGATTCTCCCCACTCTCGGCCATACCAGGGCGTTTGAGGGCTTCTCATTCCTATAGAGTATCGGACTGTGTAATCGGCTTCGAGCCACTTCTTGTATTTGAAGGTTAATGATACTATTTGGCTGCCCAAACTGATGTAGATGCTACAGGGTTCAAGTTTAGAACCTGTTGATTGAGAACTGATTACTTGACTCACTTTATTTTTATAGCTTATTACGTTACTGATTATATAAATATTGGTAGTGACCTATTGTTACAACTATTTTATGACTCATATTTCCCACTAATGTTATGTATGATTTACATTTTATTCCAAGTAGACATCGCTTCACTAAATTCTACCAAAGAACCATGTTCAATAAGAAATTCATTTTATGTACCTGAAAATCGACAAACGGTTATGGGATCATTTTGTCGACAAATAACCTCGTCCATTATTCCTCCTTCAGACCCGATTTTATCTTATTGTAAACCAACAGATTTACATTGGACTCCAAATAGTAATTATATTGCATCAATGCCATCGATGTTTCAACCGTTACCTTTTTTACTACAATCCACCTCGTCTTCAGTGATACCAGTTTCATCTTCATCAATCTTATCGTCCAGTTTATCATCTTTTCATAGTTCGTATAATTTACCATCGTCTGTTTATCCCTCCGTACCATTTTCTAATCATCTATGTCCTTCGTACTGTTCTTTCTCATCTCATAGTTTAAAACCTATTCCAAGCGTTAAACCTTATTTATCCTCTAATCATACATACCTAGAATCATCTAGGATTATGTTGGATAGTGTCAACAGTAAATCATTTAATCAGACGACTACATTCAATGCCCCCAGTACAACAGTAACAACTGCGACTATGAATGCCTCTGCTATAATTACAAATACAACAGAAGATTGTACTTATCACCAATCCGAGCAATTAAATTCAACTATATTACATCATGCATCCGGTGATAGTTTATCTAATCAAGACAGTAAATTCTCTTTTTTATATCCACCTGTTTTCAATTTCTCCTCTCCTAAAATTTCTGCCATCGTTGAAAATATTAGTGATAATAATAACTCTCTAACTAATTCAATTGCTGATCAATTCCAGACATCCAGTTCAAATATTCCCCAAACTTGCTTAATCACATCATCAACATCACTGACTTGCAGAAATGTATCTCAATTAACACAAACCTCTACTGTATCTCCAACTCAACTACTTAGTAATAATACCAACGGTAATATATCGAATAACTTCGAAAATGATATGTTGATTACTAACAGTAATAGTAATAGCAGCGGTAGTAGTAGTAGTATTAGTACCAGTACTACTAGTTGCATCAGTAATATCAATGATGATTTGAATATTGACAAAAAATTGCCTAGTCTTAATATTAACAATTCGTCTGCGTCAAATACTTCGGAAAGCACAAATGCTGACGAAAAAGTAAGATCTTTTTTGATTTTATAATTCTTTTAGCTTTTATGCTTTAATATATAGTGGTATGGGTCGCAATGATATAATAGTTGAAGCACTCGAACTTCAATCAATTGGTTCCAGTTTCTGATCCCACTTTATTTTGGTGCCCAATTGCTAGTATCACTGGCTCCCCCACTGTGTGTGACTCGAAGCCGAATTCATGGTTAATAAGTTACATGATATGAATACTATTATAGAAATGAAGATGAACGACATTAGATATTATCACTAAACGGTTCGGTAAATTGTAAATGAAACCATATCAAATTGTCCATTTCTCTTGGATATTAACCAATTTTTCAATGTATAAACACTAAGCCAAATAATTTGATTTAGTAGCGTATCTATTGTATCGGGCGGTGTCCAAAATCTGATACTGATACACGGTGTACTACGCCCCCCCCCAACTAACTGAGTGAGAACACAACAGTAAGTGAGAGTGTATTGGGCTACCGTGTAAATGCACAGAAACTTATATATATGTTCAGTTGACTATTGGTTTCTTCTCTCAAAATTTGTTCAGTCGAGACTTTGATGTCTGTCTGATGAGCAAATTACCAGTTTGACTGGCTCAGGCTTACTGCTATATTTGAATGACCGTTTGTTCTGTCATAGAGGAATTTTTAACATAAGTTCGCATATTGATTAATCGTAATATGTTATGAGTTATTTTAAAAGTTGAAGAACCCTGTATTTCATTTTAAAAATTATTTATTTATTTATTTATTTGAACACATAAATATTGGTACAGGGGGGCACCAAATATATATGCGCCACACAAAACAATGATAATTTGAAGAGAAGGAGAAAAGAGAAAAAAAAGAAACAAAAAGTAATGAACGTGGGAAATTATAAAAAAAAGGGAGAGAGAGAGAACAAAGGTGGGGGAAACGGAAAGGTACAATCAGAAGAGATCTTTCAATTAAGGGAAGATACAACCACTTTTTTATGAAGAAAGTAAGAGGTTACAGCAGGATCGCCACTGGCTTCTATTCTTAGCCATATCTGATAACGTCTCTAGCCACTGCGTTACACCGTCTCTCGGACCCCAACCACGGAGTCGTGAAGGACCAACAGAAGCTAGTCCTTTGCAGCTTTCTTTCATACCACGACACCATGTCATATACTGACCACCTCTCCGCTTTTTCCAACCAGTCCCAGAGTCGGCAAATAATGCAGAACGTGGAATTCTCTGGGACGACATTCGTAGAACATGTCCAAGCCACCGAAGTCGGTGTTTCAAGATGGTGACACCAATTTCATTATCGTCTCTGTGACCGAACACTCGATGCCGAACCTCTTCATTACTGACATGGTGTTGCCACTGGTTGCCAGCAATCCTTCGGAGACAACGATGATCGAACACAGAGGGTCGTCTAACATCCTCAACTCGGAGAGGCCAGGTTTCACAAGCATAGAGCAAAACTGCTCTCACCGTCGCGTTGTAGATCCGACCTTTTACAGCCAGACTAACATCACGAAGGCGCCAAAGATGGCCCAGATTGGCATAAGCCGCTCTGGCTTTCACTATACGTGCATTGATCTCATCACTCACACCACCACCAGCACTTATGCAGCTACCTAGATACACGAACTTCTCCACTACTTCTATCTGCTTACCATCCAGAGTGAGTACAGGATTAGAATCCTGCCAGTCTTGTAGAAGAACTTTGCACTTCGAAGGTTCAAAGCACATACCATACCTACGGACACTGATTGCCAACTTATTAAGTGCGGATTGCATGGCTTGGGCATTCTCGCACAGTAAGACAATATCATCCGCATACTCAAGGTCGAGAAGTCTTTCTCCAGGCAACAGATCCACACCACCATTACTTACATCCATCAGAGCTGTTTCCAGAATGTCATCGATGGCAAAGTTGAAGAGGAATGGTCAGATTGGGCAACCCTGCCTAACCCCACTGCTCGAATGGAATAGTGGAGAAAGGTGATTGTATGCCCTCACTCTGCCTGAGGTGTTTGTGTATAGGGCTTTTAGGATGTTAATAAACTTCTCAGGCACACCCTTCTTCAATAGACAATCCCAGAGAACAGTCCTATCCAACGAATCGAAGGCAGCCCTGATGTCAAGAAACACTACGATTGTTGGCCTTTGATAAGTAAGACGGTGTTCTAACATTTGGCGGAGGGTGAAGATATGATCAATACATCCTCGTCCAGAACGAAACCCAGCCTGTTCCTCGCGAGTCAATCCTTCTCGGGTTCTGATCAACCTACGAAGTATAAAGGAAGCCAATAGCTTGGACGCAATCGGAAGTAGACTTATCCCCCGATAGTTGTTACAGGAACGACGTGAACCCTTTTTAAAGATAGGGACAACTATCGACTCATTCCATGACGTTGGTACACTCTCTAGTTTCCAGATCTTTGTAAACAACGTCGTCAGTCCCTTAGTCAAAAAGTCACCATCATCTTTAAAAAGAGCCGGAGGTAAGTCGTCTGGGCCCGGTGATTTGTAATGTTTCAAGAGTTGGAGTTCCTTGCGGACTTCCGCCTCATTTGGTGGATCAGTCGTCACCGGTCATGGAGAGCAGGACAGTCTGACCGATGTTGCCGGAGCAGCAGGCCAGTTGAACTGCCCTTCGAAAAATTCAGCCCATCGTCCAAGACGTCGATGGATGTTAGTGATTGGCGTTCCGTCATCCTCGCAGATTGTTTCGCTCACACCGAACTTCTTGCTGCCAGTGGCTCGGATGAGTTGGAAGAGCTTCCGGTAATTACCAGATGCAGCTGCTGCTTCCAACTCACTGGCACGCTCCGACCACCAGGCTTCTCGGTCCTTACGCAAGCTTTGCCCGATTTCATTACGTAACATCCTTCGTTTGTGGTCAAACTCACGGTCACCCGGAGCAGACCGACGGGCTTCAATCAGTTGTAAGGAACCAGAAGAAACCCAGTGCTTGTAAGCGGGACGTTTCGCAAACCCACAACAGACTGTACCCGCCATTTTCATGGCGTCATGCAATTGCAACCAATGCTCATCTATACTTTTCGGTGGAATGCTAGCTAGCCTAGAAGCTAGCTCGGTTCGGTACTTACTAGCAACAGAAGTTGCAGCCAGCTAGCTAACATCAATCCTTTGGTGGCGGTCACTTCGTTGTCCACTGAAAAGTAAGGTAAGATTGGCGCAGACCAGGGCATGATCAGATTCCAGATAGGTACTCCAAAAGGAGCGGCAGTCTTGTACACAACCGCGCCAGCGGTAGCTGATCGCGATGTGATCAATCTGAGTCCAGGCTTGAGATGCAGAAGGGGGACGCCAGTTGGCACATCGGCAATGACTGTGCCGAAAGTTAGTGCTAGCCAGAAACAGGTTGTGGTCTGTGCATAGTTGCAGTAGACGTTCCCCGTTATCTGTCCTTATCGTTTATCTTGATGTCTTTCTTATTTCCTGTCATCACCTACCTTGGTATCGATTGGAAAATAACTAATGACGGTTAAACCTAGACAGGGTATTGGTCTGTGAAGTTATTTAATGTTGGACTAGGTCGTGTTGAAAGTCAGCGATGTAATCCTGATATACTAGTGTAGACCTCATGTGATATGAATGGCAGTCGGTTACAGCGAACCAGATATTGGTTATCTTTTATTATTTTTCAGATACTAATAATAATATTTTATTTTATGGCTTTATTCAATATTATATTTTGGTACAATATAGAATTTTCAGCACAAAATATTTCAACAAGTTTCTTTTACAAAAAAACAGAAACAAAGACAAAAATAGGTTAATAAAAAAAATCTGAAAAGCTATATAATTTTCCAAATTAAGATACATGTTAAGAATGCAGGTTATTGACTAGATTGACTCGAACGACTTGTTCGTCACCGAGTATATTTGCTAGCTAAGGCATTATAGGACTTTTATACTTTCGCTTGCATGGTTGGATTTTAATGTAATTTCGTCTCGTTCATCCTGTTAATTTCCTTTCTTTGTTTGTGTTTGTTGCTTGGTGGCTGGGGACTTTATGTGACATAGCTCAAAATCTTTTACAATGACGCAGATATTTTCACTCTTTATAGTACTGTCAATATTGAATTCAAGTATTCCTTCTACATACATCTTTTTGACCTGTTTTTCCTACCACATTCTCGACGCTTATTTCTTCTTATTGTCGTTACTACTAGATTGTTTCGACGGTATGGCTACTTTGACCAACGCACATCTGTGCCATGCTGTACTTTGATGATAACTGAATGAATGTCTGTGTACTAATGCCAAGTGTGACAGTTTAGGCCGACATACATGTTTCAGGCTCTACTATGTATATGATTGATTGGCACCAATTTATTGTCATCTAAATTTCTAATACCTATTGATTTCCATTAAATGTTACAATGCGCTTAGTTTACCGTTGTTTGTCGTAGAAATTAAATGTCGACGAGACCACTTGATAGTTATGCCTAATATTATCTTCATTAGTCTTCAATAATTATTAATTAGATGTTATTTTAATTTCTTTTCTTTTTTCTGTGGTTTTTAGTGCAACGGTCTTCCACGTTTCAATTTACGCTATACTAATGTACTTCATTATCCAAAATATTCCAGTCGTAAAAATTCAGGCTTTGAAAGACGTCTTAAGTAAGTTAATTAGCGTTTATTACTACTATTTACTTATTTATTATCACTTTATTTTCATAGTTCACATCATGGAACTTATTTTAGTTAAACAACCATTGAATAAAAGGAAGCATTGGAGATCTGCTTTAAATACTTTATTCAACCAATAGAGTAGTCACAAATCTGTTAATTTCATTAAAAGTAAAATCAATATCAACATAATAAACGATCTGCCCCCAAATGCCCTGGTACGGCCGAGAGTGGGAAGAGTCCGCTCTCCCTCTCGAAATGCTCTCACACGGCCACGCGTATATAGCCTCTGCCAGGGAAGTCCTACTCACTGCCTTCTCGTGGCGGGGGTGTTGTTTACAAAAATGAGAGGACGAAAAGCGAATGTCCGGCGCTATAACCGGATCACAAACCAATGGTGCACATGGGCTCCAGTATCCTGAAGGAACAAATGGCGTATGAACCAATCGTTGGTCACCGGCTACCATGGGCTGCATCTCCTCACGATGCTCCACTGCCTTGTGGATCAGATCTTCAGGTCGAAGGCTCCTGGTGTGGCCCCCTAAGAAAACCACCTGCTTCGGTTTGGGCACCCGAGCAGTATCACAGCCCTCACACATATCAAATGAGATCTGTGTGGCGCATATGTATTTGGTGCCTTCTTGTACCGATATTTATGTGTTAAAATAAAATAAAAATAAAAATAATAAACGATCTGAATGACGTTAGAATTAACATTAACTCTACATAAGGTCTATCGCCCTGAGTATCATCATAATATGTGCAATCGACAGTGTGAGAATATTATTGTTATAACTTGTGAATTGAATGCTGATTGTGTTGGCTCTTTTAATGCTACTTTTTGTATCTGGTTGTCGCCGATTGTTATATCGAAAACGCTTATCACTTATGCTCGAAACGAGGGACCTCCGCAATTCCAACGACGCGAAAGTAAGAACACATAGACTGGTATCAGTGAAGATTTATTAACCCTAGTCGAAAATACACTCATTTATGTATTGATTCGTACACCCATTTTGATTAATAATTAGGATGAAATCACATATATAAAAAAATAGAGTTATAACAAATCACATATAGAGCATAGTTCATGTCAATTGAATACAAGAATATCGTATATTATACAGAATAAAATATCATACGAGAAAACTACTACACTGAATAATCACATTGAATCAGAACGGAAGTAATGTTGAACAAAACTCATAATGGGTAAATCAATCTAATTTTGAGAATATTATTGTTATAACTTGTGAATTGAATGCTGATTGTGTTGGCTCTTTTAATGCTACTTTTTGTATCTGGTTGTCGCCGATTGTTATATCGAAAACGCTTATCACTTATGCTCGAAACGAGGGACCTCCGCAATTCCAACGACGCGAAAGTAAGAACACATAGACTGGTATCAGTGAAGATTTATTAACCCTAGTCGAAAATACACTCATTTATGTATTGATTCGTACACCCATTTTGATTAATAATTAGGATGAAATCACATATATAAAAAAATAGAGTTATAACAAATCACATATAGAGCATAGTTCATGTCAATTGAATACAAGAATATCGTATATTATACAGAATAAAATATCATACGAGAAAACTACTACACTGAATAATCACATTGAATCAGAACGGAAGTAATGTTGAACAAAACTCATAATGGGTAAATCAATCTAATTTTGACTTTTCTTTCCAGCTTATCAATTATAAGTGATGATGAAACTGGTTCGAAGCTGATCACAACCACACAAAGCGTTTATCTATGATGTTTTTTCTCTTTAACCCGTGAATCGCATTGTTCTGTTCGCGTATTCTCTGTTAATTTCATCTTTATTTCTACTCTTAATTGTATTTTTTTTAAACTGTTGACTAGTGTACATCATTGAATGGTTATGAATTTTATTTGTTTATTTGAGCTTTTTTATCCTCAGTAAGTTTAAAAGCCGTACCATAGATAGATGATTGAGATGTATCAAAATATAAACTAATTACTTCACTTCGTCAGACATCAACAACATGTGATAAATCGCTGTGTAGTGACCAATGTTGTATTTGTCTTTCCCATTTGTGCTGATCGAATTCTGTCTATCAGGTCTCTGACGAGTTTCAAGTAGCACGGACTCTAGGTTCAGGATTTCCTGTCGACTGTCTTTAACCAACTAACATCAAAACATTGTGCACATGATGTCGAGTCACTTAAACTGGTGGTCATATGGTAACTTGATTGATAAGATCCGATCAGCACTAAAGAACTAGACCTGTGTTCAGGGTTTTCTGTCGACTACCTCTAACCATTTAACATCACATTTAATTACCTGGCAGGAATATGCATTGGTTCAAATTCTTTTAACCGTACATCAGTAGTATGAGATAGGAAATTAATAAGATATATGACAAAGAAACCAAAATAACATTCGTAACAATGATATTAAAATTTATATGTGTGTTTTTCAATAAGCGATAAACCAGTTGATAAGGTTTTGAATCTTTACCGACCATAAGACAACCTGTCTATGTTCTTAGTTAAAGTATTGCGTGAAAGAAAGTTGAAGGTATTTGTACTGAGGCTAGTCATTAATTTTTTAAAACATATTCTGAATCACAGACTTTCTCATATAGATGACGTACACATTGCAAGCAAAATAAATGGTTAGAAGAGATCATTGAATTCTGTAACTCAAAATTAATTACACTGATCCAAACTACTGATATATTTCTTCTCTGTATGCTCCTATCGGTCTTGTACATCATTTTGTTATTACTATTAATATCGTCTGTTTTATATTTTTCTTGTATGCTATAGAGGTGGATTGTATAAGTAAACGAGGTTTCTAATTGTTAAAATAAGTAAAACTCTATGCTTTGATAAATAGATATACACAATGATATAATTTAACCGAGTAGTGATGGCTACTCACATGACAGAATTATTGAGCCGAATGGCCGAAGAAACAAATAAATACTACTGGTAGAAGAATAGAGTATTTTGTCACATAAAATAAACATAGTTAGAAGGAGGATATTACTTTTAAAGATCACTCACTCCAGTAAATTTAGATCCGACTGTTAAACTGGATTTAAACCTACCATATAACTGTACCCATTTGTTTTTGCTTTTTGGGTTATTGTGTCCACTCTCTCCATTCTTGTTTAACTTTGTCGTTGACGTCCTTTTAGAGATGACACTTTCCTCATCTAAATTTCCAGGAGTTGAACTTCTACCGGGAGATCCACTTGTTGACTTAGAATATGCCGATGACATAGTTCTATTTAGTGAAGACGCTGACAGAATGCAGAGTCTGCTGACCACTCTAAGCAACAATGCAAGCCTGTTCGGCATGCGATTCTCTCCCTCGAAATGCAAAATGTTACTTCAGGATTGGGTTGCGTCGACACCGGAACTAGTGATAGGGAGTGAAGTAGTTGAGCGTGTCGACCGCTTCACTTATCTCGGAAGTCTCATCAGCCCTTGTGGTTTGGTGTGTGACGAAATCTCAGTACGGATACAAAAGGCTCGACTAGCTTTTGCCAACTTGCGTCATTTGTGGCGTAGGCGAGATATCCGTCTATCAACCAAAGGACGTGTTTACTGCGCAGCAGTTCGTTCCGTCCTACTTTATGGCAGTGAAACATGGCCGGTAAGAGTAGAGGATATTCGTAGGTTACTAGTATTTGACCATAGATGTCTTCGAAACATTGCTCGTATATCCTGGGACCACCGAGTAAGTAACTCAGTTGTTAGGAAACGGGTACTAGTTAAGGATGGAAAATCAATTGAGGAAGTAGTGAAACTCAATCATTTGAGATGGCTGGGACATGTGTTGCGCATGCCCGACCACCGACTGCCCCGACGTGCTATGTTTTATGGTGTAGGAGTAGGTTGGAAGAAAGCTAGGGGCGGCCAGACCAAAACATGGCACAAATCCATGAAGTCACTGACAAGTGGACTGAGTCATGTTGGTAGGTGTAGACTACTTGGTTGTGGACCGCGAGACTATAGCAACCGATGGTTAGAGACCTTGAATGACATGGCTCAAAATCGTTTGCAATGGCGCAGGTGCATCCACTCTTTGTGTTCTCTCAAACTCTAATCTTCTGAATTCTTCATGTCCTTTATTTTCTTTCCCAATTTATTCCACTGGACTATACTCCTTAAATAACATCATCAAACCTTAATGTCCCCTATCTCTACTTATACTTTCAGTACCTCTACCACTATGGGATTTGAATCGATAACTGAATCTCTGTGCTAATGTGGTATGGCAACTCGAACTGATGTACGTACGTATGAAGTTCCACGTTGTTACTGACTGACTGACTGACTATTGTGTAGGAGGACATTGAGGATATCAACGTTGTCAGACGCCAGATATCCGAAAGGAAATTCAACGATTATAAAACAATGAACAAGTTATTTGTATAGTCTGCAAATCATTTTTACAATTTACGCATGCACCTATTGTAGGCTATTATTTAAATCATTGGCTGATTTAAGGCTAAGTTAAGAGAGTTAGGCTAAAACATGACATCATGTCATAGACTGTTGGTTTTAGTCATGCTGATATATGCAGTGTCCTTAGTTCAGAGGGTGGTACTGTCCACGCAATAGTCGCGATCAGTGGTTGAAGATTTCGGGTGGAATGACTCAAAATCTTTGGCAATAATACAGATGGATTTATCCAGTGTATATTTTTTATTCAGCCAATTCATTTCATTTTCCGGTTCATAATCTCTACGTCTTGTCTTTTTTTTCCTTAACGATTATTTCAACTTATTTTCTATTCATTTGGTTAATTTCAAACTGGTTATGCTAATTTGATTCGGCGACATAGACTGATCCCCACATGTATCTATCTCAACTCTTGCCTACTGTGATTATGACTACTGTCCGACTAATATTCACTTGGGAATTTGAACAACCGTGGCCATGAAATTCACAAATGATCAGTAACCATTTAACCAAGTGAGAGTCGATGATTTCCTAATAAATGCTGTCTTCTGTTTTATGTCGTTCTAGTGTGTGGGTTCCCGAATTCACCACCGTAATAAAATCCTAACAATACCGAAAATAGAAAGATACACAATCTAAAGGAAGTTCGTTTTCGTCTCAGTATATTATTGTCAGCTTCAAGCTTTAAAGGCAGTTGCGATATTGCATTGGGGGAACATTTGTATCATATCAAAGATTAATGTTACATTTATTTTGTTGTATATGTTTCCTATCTTCACGACACATTAGTTGTTTATTCTTTATTTCATAACTTCTCTTCTATAGACATGCAGGCCGATATACGCCATATATATATATATATATATATATATATATAGTCTCGCGCGAGACTGATAGGTCCTGGGTTCGAATCCCGCGAGGCGGGGTCGTGGATGCGCACTTCTGAGGAGTCCCAAAATAGGACGAAACAGCCGTCCAGTGCTTCCAGGTTTCCCATGGTGGTCTCGTTTCAATTGACTCATGATCTCAACTATTGAAATTACTACAATCTCCACGAAACCCCTTCTGATATAGTTTTGTTTTATAGTCTATATTTGATTTGATATTATCCATATCATGTGGTAATGATTATTATATATGAAACCAAAAGAACTTATCATCATCACAGCACATGTATGTTTAATTACACACTAAATAATCGGTTATCTTACTGTCTAGCCATTCGTATTACCAACGCACGCGTAAATGCCAATATGCACTACTTTCCTTCGTCATGAGTATCAATCACCAACGTTAAAAATGGCCTAGTTTAAACAATTTGGAAACTCGATTTCAGCTAGATTTATTTTTAGCCTAGATTATTATATTAGTCTAGTAGTGGTATGATTTCAATCACCATTTTCTAAAGTATGCTTGTTAACTGTTTTGTTTGCCTGTTATTTTCTATTTGCATGAGATATACGTTTTTACAGATTACATTTTTACACTGATTTTAGGACTCCACGCCTACGCAATGTTGATATGTACACACGTAGACAAATTAACGCATATTTGTATTCATATACTATTCTTACTACATTTTTATCCAATGTTTGTTTGCTTGTTTTCTATCTAGGTAAGCATAGCAGTCATGACTATGCCAGTGAAAAAAGCATGAATGACCTTGAGACAAGTTTCATTTGCTACGCGAACCATTCTAAAGCTACAATGTGATCGTATTACACCCACGCTATTTCACTCGAAAACAGATAATTCATTTTGGTCTGTAGAAGTCATTATTTCTCACGATTGATTTCATCTAAAAAAGTACTAGATAAAGTAGTGATGATGATCAAGGTATGAAAATAGTTAAGGGACTTATTCAACATAGCTCGGTTACTGTATCAGACCCTTGTATATATTAAAACACGAAGTTCAGGGAAGAGATCTTTCAATGAACTGATTATCACGCTTTACAATCATATATATACCGTAAGGACTTATGAATAAGCATGATGATTTGATAAAAAGGTTATAATACTAGATTGTGTAGTGTAAATAATAAAATAAAAACGTGTGTGTGCAAATAAAAATCAATGTAAAATTATGGATATGAAAAATTATATCAGCACTATATATCAACACTTAAGTAAAACTGAGATATTAGGTGTCGGGTATCTGGTCATTAAGAACTACGTATCATGTCCGTTAGCTGCCACACTGAAAACTGTATCCTAAAGAGAATGACACATTGTGAAATAAAGTTATATCGAATTTACATATGGCGAACGGTAAATATCAACTTTTGTGTTAATTTTCAATGTTCATATGATTTAGTAGCCTGAAACTTTTATCGAAAAAACCCCCCCAACTCTCGAAGTCGGCGAAAAGCTTGTTTTATTTTTTAGTCTTTGATGGTAATTGGTTAAATCTGCTTTTAAAAAGAAAAATATTCCCTTCAAATATGTTTCCTTACTCTTAGACTATTTTTTTCCCTGTAACAGTTTATTTCTTTGCATTATTATGATTATTCTTGCTGCATAATTTTTTCTAATTTTCTGCCTTCACAATATTGTTATTTTCTATTTATTGGTTCGTGGTCATACTAAAATATCATTTCAAATGCTACATATTGAGAGTTGAAACGGATAAGTATTGCTTGGAAGTTTAATCTTCTAACCATTCAGCCTTACTGCTTTTGACATTATGACGTTGTAGACGAGGTCATTGAACAAATCAAGTTATTATTGTTTTTATTATCAGTTTGTTCAGTTATTTTGGAAATCGTATACTTCAGTTATTTTTGTTCACTCAATCGATTATTTTAATAGTTAAATTGAAAAGTCATCTGATTGGTGTGTAATCAAACACTGAAGTCATCTAATAATGGATTTTTCCAAACAAGCTTTAATACCTCGCTTACAAACTCCCACCTATCTTATCTATTCTGTCCACATAGTTACGTATTGTAGAGTGTAGTTATCATAATTTTTTATTTTGTATGTAAGGGGGTTGGCTTCTGTCCTCATCTGTTCCTGTATTCTGTCCACATACACATGTGTGCGAAGTAAAATGTTAACGAAAAGCTATTTCACTACAGGGCTACATTTGGAAATATAAAATCTCAATAACAATTATATCACCCAGTTATCGTCTCCTTGGAGCCTGCTATAAATACACAGCTCAAGTTGTCATACCATATCATATATAATCGGCACAATGTTATATATGTAAAAAAAAAACTGTTGAAATAGTAGTAAAATAAGTGATGAAAATATTTGTAAACATGTTGGTGTATTGTAAGTTGGATATAATATGAGATAAATCAATATATCTTATTTCCCGTATTAGTTGCTCACTTTCATTTTTCCACTTCCTTTCCTCATTTGTCTTTATTTTTTCGCTTTTCTTCTACTTTAGACATACTGGATTAATTTTAGATGCAAAGTCAACTTTACGTTTATTAAGAAAATTCTTACAGCCATTCGTTAATCGTGATTTTGATCAGCTTATAAAAAAGTATATGGATGTAAGTGTGTTATATATATAGTTCCGTTATTATTAATATTATAAATATTATTCGAAATATATGGATAACTGTCTTAGCATTAAACTAGATAAGTATTGTTGTGAATTAAGATTCCAATGAAATGTGTTTTGTTAACCTTGTGTGTTTTCTAAGATCAGTTGCTTAATTGTAAAGCTCTCGTTGATTTGGACAACAACATCACCAGCTTTTTCTTCACATAAAAGTAGTAAAATGATCATGTTTTCAAGAGCAACAATGAAAGCTTCACTGAGCTCAGAGAACACAACAAAATAGCATCCATCATTTTATAAAGGGCTTACTCAACAGTAATACCCGGAGAAAATATACATATTTTAAGTGAAGAACAAAGAATGAAATATATTTGCAGTTTGCGTCATGATTAGTCTAGAAACATATTTTTTGGTTCTTTGTAATTTGATATTGAATAGAATACTATATTGGTTAATATTTAAACAAAAAACTACCGACTTTATTTATTCAATCGTTACAAATGTATCTATCAACGGTTTACATTAAGTCATTCATCCATTTACACGTACCTTTTTTTAATTATTCGTTAAACTCGTTCTAGCTGACTGACTGATTTGTTTGACTACTTTTCGGTTTACGGTACATATATCAGTCAGTCACAACACTCAACCTGTACGTATGCACATTGGTTCAAGTTGTTATACCCCATTAGCACAAAGAGATGAAGTTGCTAGACCGAATCCCACAGTAGTAGAGGTAGTAACAGTATCAATGGCAGTAAATAAGGCATCGAAGTTATGACTCAAGAAGTGAATATAAATTAGTAAAATAAAAAAAATGTTATGATAAATTGATAATTTCAAAAAGTTTTATATTTTATTTTATTTGAACACATAAATATTGGTACAAAGGGGCACCGAGTACATATGCGCCACACAAATCAAATGAGATTTGTGTGAGGGCTGTGATACTGCCCGGGTGCAGGTGGTTTTCTTAGGGGCTACACCCGGAGCCTTCGACCTAAAGGTCTAATCCACAAGTCAGTGGAGCAACGTCAGTAGATGCAGTCTCACGGTAGCCGGTGATCAACGATTGGATCATACGCCATTTGTTCCTTCAGGATACTGGAGCCCATGTGCACCATTGGTTTGGATTCAGGGTTTTCCAACTCTCCTAGGTGGACGCTCCATGTCCACCAACCCGGTTAAAGCGCCGAACATTCGCGCTTCGTCCTTTCGATTTTGTTAACAACACCCCCACCACTAGAAGGCAGTGATTAGGACTTCCCTGGCAGAGACTATATACGTGTGGCCATTTGAGAGCATTTAGAGAGAGAGAGCGGACTCTCCCCACTCTCGGCCGTACCAGGGAAAACAAAGAATGAATCGACCTTCGCCATCGCAAAAGATTTGGATCCATATCATTCAAAGTCTCTAACCCTTGATTATGATAATCACGCGGACTTCAACCAGGTAGTTAGCACTTATTAACTTGGCTAGGTCCAACTGTCAGTGATTTCATGGATTAACTCCATGCTTTAGTTTGGCCGCTGCCTGCTGCACCAGAAAACATTGCCCGTCGATGTAGGCGGTGGGTGGGGACACTTAACACTTGTCCCAACAAGCTCAGTTGATGAAGATTTGCTACCCCATCGTTACCTAGCACACTACTCTTAAGACACACGACCAGCAAGACTCAGACAAATACGGGCTCGAATTAGAGCATGATCCGGACATAAACGTGCGCTCTTGAATGAGGGACAGTATTCAATCGATCCCCTTCAACGATGGCTAGTGACAATGTGGTCAGTTTGAGTCAATTATGGAGGTCACCACGTCAGACGATATTTCTCCTTATTCTTAACGTCAGTGTTTACCAGAAATAGTCGGTTATTTGAACATAGTTTGCTGTGCCGCAAAACTGTAAGATCTGCATAAGTGCTTCTCGGTTAGATTTGGTCTACCTACTTAGGCAAGAACATCGCCTGTCATTATTATCAGTGGTTAGCATTGAAGAAGGTTAAATAGCTTCCTGAAAATTCATGTTTAGCCTCATCCGAGCTGCAATAAGTGGAAGTGCAGGCAAAGACAACGAACGGGTAACGGCGTGTGTCTCTATCTTTTTGATCTTTTACTATCCTGTTTAGTCGAACAGTGCACAAACAACTGTCTATTTGAATCCGGTCTAACAGAACCTGTTCCACCTAAGAACTTAGCGCTATACCTACACCAGCGAGACCCCGGGGAGTAGCAGTGAAGTCTCCATATACTTGAAGGGTAAATTGTGATGGTTCTTTATATTGATAAGGTGAGGGCATACGAATGACTGTACTTGGATCCTGTGTGCGCGTTTCGGCGGTGCGGCATATACTGATCGTGTGAGATTTTAGAGTTCTAGCTAAAGAAGTCTTTCCCCGTCTGGTACAATGTCCGAACATTAAAAGCTCAGGCATGTAGTTTAAAACGTAGTTTCGGTAGATCTAATGGGACATGTCGTAAATACCAAGAAATATATATATATATATATATATATATATATATATATATATATATATATATATATATAAGTAGGAAGTAAATGTAAATTGATAGGAATAAAACAAACTTGTTCGAAATAATACCGAACTTTGTATTTTGCTGGTGCTTATCTATTTGCTGTTCGCTTCCCTCATGGTAATAATCGAAATTATGTCTGTCAGTTTTATAAAATCTATAACGAACTCTCTTCATTACTGATGAAATTGTAGTTTGTCCCTGCTCTGCCTTCATTTATTCACAAATGAAGTGTTTACTAACTGACCAATAGACTGGAATTAATGTTTTATACATGGATTGCATTGCATCACTTGCTTAGCATGATTATATCGTCCAAATCACTGAATTTGTGACTTTAGGTTTCACCTTGAATCAAATGTTTCAGGACTCATTCTTCGTACGTAAAATAAAGTTCCACTTTGTTCATAGGTTCGGATTATGTGGCTTTATTCAGTGAATTAAAATTTTGTATACTAGGTGTTACGTCATGATGTGCTGCTAATTTAAGACAAAACAATAGTTTAATATTGTTCTTCATGGTTTTCAACTGTTGTTCTTCAGTGTTGATATTAGTTCATGTTAAAAAATCATCATTGTAGATTAAAAAGTTTTACAACATAATCGTCTTCCTAGAAAATACGAAGGTAGACATTATTACAAATGTCTACTAATTATATTTTCAGAGATCATTGTATGTGTTTAATGTGATTTTCCTTTAAAGAAAGTTTAGCCAAAAAAGATTTCTTTTTTTCTAAAGTCATATGATTGTAATTTATGTGATTTACATAAACTTTTTTTGTCTCGTCTTTGAAATTTGTATCTACTTTTTTCTTGTGTGTGTATGTGGAAAAAAACAGGATTTCATTCTGCTGGCTGTGAATAATATTCGTGATGTATTAGGTGAACAATCTGTGTCTGAAAGTGATTTGACTAGATTTCGTCAAAGTTTAATCCATCGGGTAAGTTAGTTGTCTGTTGAATATTGGTTTGAATTGATTTTATAAGGTAGAAATGTTTTCACATCTATATATTCATTGTTTAACATTTCACCTTTGTATTACTATAGAAATAATAAATAATAATCATTAATACTCCAGTGGTAATATTCATGATTGTGATATGTTGTGTTGTATATTGTGTTGATTCGTTTCTTCAGTGATGATCACAGTGCATAAAGCTTAATTCTCACAATCTATCCTCTGCTGATGATTAGCCTTACGACCCTGTCACATACAGTGTAAAAATGTTGAGTCATTTTGTTTACTGTGACCGTATTGCCGATTAGACACAATATAGTGTGATCATTATCACTATAAAAAGTTTGTTAAATTTTTACATTTTGCATCACGAACTGATTTTAGTTAGACAAATACTAAAAACTGGGAGGCATAAGATATCCGTTTCAGTGTAGCACTCCACGACTCAGCTATGTACATCCACAACTCCACTTGGAATCGGATATATAACTTACAGGTCACGCGGCTACCATTTTATCTTTCGATTACTGAGTCGCCGTACGACGATTTCACATTTCTCATTTCAATTAGTTCGTGATATGGTGCAACTATCTTCTAGTGCCAATAGTGGTTACCTTGTTCACATGCAACACGATTGACGAAACATGTATTCAGTGCTTCTTGGTGTTTATTGGTTCGCGATGTATACTAGGAAAAGTTGTGATTAATTATCAATAACTAGAAAATATGACTTTGATTTTACTGGTTATCAAGAGTGTTCTGTAAGTGTAATGTTCTTCATATGTATTATTTCATAATTAGATCTTTAACAATAGGTTTCAGTTTTAGTCGTGATTATATTTTCAAAAGTCTACTTATTAATTAATGCCTTAGTTCTTGGAGAATTTAATAATTTCCAATTCATTTCAGTCTTCTTTTTGTTCTATTTTGTTCAATACACCATGAAATGTTCCCACTATCAATTGAGAAAAGTCAATATGGTTAAAAATCGATTTTAACTGAAAGCAATAACCTATTCACTTGTTGTTGTTTGATGATAATGACACTATATTTTTAACAAAATAAAATTTTCCCCAAAAGATTTTAAAGTAATATAAATTTTGCATTATACCTGTCCCATAGTCATGTATCACTTTCGAAGCTATCGGTTTATGCAAGTTAGAATAGTTCTCAATATTCAGTTAAAAACGTTTTCATGTAAAATACAAGGAAAAAATGGTTCATTTGAATCGAAAGTATTCTTTTTCATTCTAGTTGCATCTGGTATATGCCAGTTAAATAATTAAACATATTTAAGTTAACACTTCTTAAAGTTGTCACTCATTGACTTAAGCAATTAAACTCGTAATTAGTAGGAAAATCTTAAGCACATACTTCTCTCAATTTCATGAAGTTTTAACCATGCGGGGATAGTAATAAATATCATTATCTCTCTCTTTCACACAAATAAATGCAATAGCTATCATTCATATTTCAGTTATGCAAACTTATTCTCAACTGTTGAATTACATTCTTAAGCTTAAAGTCCTATATAAATTCTGCATAATCCAGTTTCCCAACATATACACATTCATTTCTCTAATTGTAATTATGTCATCTTATTCATCATTTCAATTAAAGGTCTACTTTTCAAAGCAGATTATTCTGTATTTTTTTATGTACAATTTTTTGTGAAAAAAATAGGAAAAAAATTATTCTGTCTAAACACGGACAACCGATAACCTTGATCTTATATAATTGTACAATTGCTAAAAGGTAGAAAATAAATCTCTAAATTCGAATTTATAACATTCTTCATGTCTGATAGCTGGATTTTTGGAATCTTCAAGCCTACATTTCTCAATGATTATTGATTTTACATTAAATCCCCATCGGCAGATCGACATATCTGTATCTGATTTTGAAAAAAGACCTTCCAAATTTCAAGCATAAATAATTTTTCATTTGTATTGGTTATTTAAATCTTCCCATTGATGTTTGGGACTGTAACTGATCAGTCTGGTTTTTGCATATGTATATTCTGTACGGATTGCCTCTATATTCCCTTAAGTTACAAGCATTATAAGCAGAGATGAATAGTGGCTAACAATGGAACTTAGGATCAGCGTTTCGTCCTAAATTGACAACGTGACGGCGTTTGAATCGAACGGCACTGAGTTCGACTCCGCGCGTGAAAATCAACTCTGATCCAGGTACATATAGCTGAAGAGTCCGCGTCCTGGATCCTACTACTAACCACCATTCACCTCTGCTCATAATTCATCTTTCATCTACCTCTTTCTAAGAACAATAAAAGAGAGATTAACTAAATAAAAATCTTTCAATATTTGATATCTTCCATTGCCAAGGTAGAAAATCATTGAAATTCTGAAAGGACTTGGTACGTGATTTGAGACTCTCTTCGTCAAAATGGATCCTAGATTCACAGGTATTGTTACGACTATCACTATTGAGTTGAAATACAATATTATATTTTCAGCTTCTGTCAATCAACTAACCATTTATTGCGACTATTAGCCGATACTATCAGTGGGTATCTGATTCGCTCTACTGACACAATATACTCCACGGGTCATGGCTTCGCATTATAACTAGGTTAATGAGTCTGGATAGCCATGAAACTGTCCAATGGTTATGAAGTTATTAGTTGGGAAACATTCAATTAAGTCCATGATTCAAAAATAGAATGAAATGCTCGACCTGCGTTCTAAGTTGTTGCTGACTAACTGACCACTAATATTCGTAGTCTGAATACATTAAAATCCCTAACTAAAAGAGTATATCAAAGCAGTGTACTCAGAATTAATATATTGCAACAGAAACTGAACAGTACAAATTTCAAATATCAACGGCAGAAATTTAGAAACTTTTACTAATGTGGATTGTTTTACATGTTTTTAGCGAAAAGATAAATGTACTGTGTTGAAGACAGATCACTGTAGACTTTTACTTATATTTCCTATGCTTGTTATTTAACTAACTATTAAAGTCGTTGCATCAACCCGTGAACTAAGAATAGAGAGTGAAGTATTCAGACGCGTTGACAACTCCAATTATCTTGGAAGTCTGATCAACCCTAATGGGTTGGTGTCTGACGAAATCTCAGCACGGGTTCAAAAAGCTCGTTTGACTTTTGACAACTTACGTCACCTATGACGAAGGCGAGATGTCCGTCTATCAATAAAAGAACGAGTATACTGCTCAGCAGTTCGTTGTTTTACTTTATGGCTGAGAAACATGACCATCAAAAGTAGAAGATACTCGTAAGCTACTAGTATTTGACCACAGATGTCTCAGAAATATTGCTAGCATCTGCTGGGATCACCGGGTAAGTAATGGTGAGGTTAGACTCAGGGTTGATGAAGTTGTAAATCTTCATCGACTGAGATGGTTGGGCCACGTGTTGCGCATGCCTGAACACCGATTACTACGACGCGCAATGCTGACTAGTTTGGGAATGGTTGGAAGAAAGTTAGGGACGACCAAACCAAAACTTGGCATCAGTGCTTCAAGTCACTAACTGCTGTTCTGAGCTATGTCGGTAGATGCAGACTACTTGGTTGGAGTCCACGCGACTATCGTAACGAGTGGTTGGAGTCAGGTGCATACACTCTGTGTCTTCCCATAAACCATAAGATTAACATTAGCTTATATCCTACTTTTTCGAACTAATTCTTTCTCTCTTGATTGGAGACTGTGTGACATGACTCAGAATCGATCACATTGGCGTCGTTGTATCATTCTGTCTCCCTTAATCCGTGAGACTAAGATTACTTTATACCTTTCTTTCTATAAACTAATTCTTCTCCCTTTATCGTGTCCTTATATGAAACGTTTTTTTACTACCATTGAAGTAACTGCTTCTATGAGTTTGGTGTTCATCTTGTTGTGCTAATAAGATATAGCAACTCGAACCGATGCATATATCTGCCTGGTTCTACACTGTAGATGACTGACTGAATCGGGGCCTTGCATCAATAATGCAGTTTCATGAGCAGCTATCACTCGAAAAAGTCATATCATTTGGTTCATCTATCCATCAGGATTCTACTCACTGATATCAACAATCGTAAATTCCCCTAACCAACCAACCTAAAACCTTGTTTATAACATTTTTTCAAATGAAGGGGTTTTGTGGATATTATAGTAGTTTTAATAGTTGAGATCATGAGTCAATCGAAGCTAGACCACCATGGAAAACCTGATGGTCTAGGTCTAAATTAGTTGATGGGTAAAATTAAAATTACCTAATAAACATCTAAATATAGCATTTTTAGTCAGCGGTATCATATCGAAAAAATATTTTTTCTTGCGTACTCGCAAATCAGCAAAACGTGTTTCCTTTATAATGTTTTGATTAGTCAGTTAGTCATAGCCATCGTACGACTTGGCATAAATGTCACCTAAATTCCTACACACATCACACTAACATTGTCCAGCTATGGAGAGCCCAATTTTTTATAATACGCTCAACTATTAATTGGTAAACTGATATTTAAGGGATCATTTTATAAACGTGTCGTATATTCGTAAGCTACCGATCGAATAGGGTTGATTTGAAGCTCTAATATACATGAAGTGGTCAATACTTCTTACTAAATTCACTCCATATAATCAAACTAGATAGTGATGCAGACTAGTTCTGAATCAACGTTTTAAATTTAGAAAATCGAGAAACCCATTTCAAACTATATTGAACTGTTTTTCAATGGATCCGAAAAAATTGTATTTCCATCAATCCTTCCAAAAATTCGAATTGTTATGCCGCAAACCATGTCTGTATTTAAATTAAATAAAAATGGATAGATTGTGATCTATTCAATCAATCTCTAAAAAAAGAAAATATTATTATTAATATCTATCTTTTTGTTACAAGTATCCACAACTATTAATCTATTGTTTTAATAATCAAGTACATGTAACAATTACATTTATAGAAATTTATCTTCATTTCATGCATGATCAAATAAAAATTAATTTTT